TATTACTTAGAATTTATTTACAATTTACTTACCTTCACTTCCTTTAAGAAATAAAGAGCAAAACGCCAAAAGTATGTCGTAGTTGAATTTCAAAACATTCTGCGCAGTTATAGAGACAAAAAGCTCAGGTTTTCGAAGCCGCATTCCTGCAGAGTAGACCAGATCTAATGAAGTCTTTAGGTGTATCAGGTTATAAATACTCGAAGCTGTCATCGACATTCCTCACCGCGCGACGTAATTTATGCCTCGACCCTTATACGAGTAGTCGTATATCAATCTAATCTGATAGTAGTAAAGTATAACGCATTTGGTTGGGACAGCCGAGACTCTCTTCGGCCTGTCCTGAACCAAATACGGCGACGTGCGCGGACAATAACGCGAGAACGAACAATAAACCGGCAAAGTAAGAAATTTCTATCTTTGTAAAGAAGTTGTACTTTATCTATAAGATTGGCCACAAAATTAAATTACATAAATCACAATCAAAAAACAGTCGATCGTCGGTGGAGAAAGGACGAGCACGGGTCCTTCAAATCGCCATTGTTATTGGTAAATCAAGCCTGCGGCCCGCTCGACAGGCGCCCATAAATTATACAGGCGACTCATTCCGTGGACGTCTTCGACAATCGAATCAATTCCCGCGTTTCTCCGTTTCCCCGTAGACAATGATTATCGTTATGTCGAAGAACGTGGGCGCTCGCCTCCTACCATCCTGTCGGTATCGGTTTGCATCTTCCTGTCAAAAGGTTGTTTGTTTTTCTCCCGATGTAATAAATAACAACGCGTACGCTCCACGTTCACGGTATACCCAGGATTGAAAGCCTCTCTAACGAGACTTTAAAAACCGTTTTCTCCCGTCTCGTTGGTTGTGTATGCGTTCTCTTCAAGAATGCATTAAGTATACTACGATGATCCTCTTAATCATTAGATAACCTTAACAACTTTATTAAGATGATTTGGTCCGAAATTGAATTGAATATTTCGCTTTGGTAAAGCCGGACGTTAAGTCGGCGAAGATAAATTAGATCCGAAACTCCGTGTGCAAAACCTAATGCTCCAATTAGACCTACACCGTACCGGTGACCGCAAATCCTCCATTTCGAAAGCACCCCCCTCACGACGTGGAAATTATGCCATAAATTCTAGCCCCTTCCTAATTGCAAAGGCGAGTTCAATTCGTCTCAAGGAATTGAACTCCTCTTTTCCATGAAGACTTAGGTTTCGCGATAGTACGATACCGACGCCATACATCAAGTTGCGACCAAAGAGCTCGGCCCAGAAGCCGTAAATCAAGATCGCGAAGGCTTCATCTTGCCCCAGGACGGGGTGTAGTACTATCGCCTCTTCCTTTCGGCATAAATTGAATTCTAGTGCATTGTGCGTGCAAGAAGGGACGGGACAGGATAGATAAGGATAGTAAAAAGAGAGTTCTGAGGGGTGTTAACTGTCCGCGTCGTTCGCGACGACATCAAGGGGTTCATTTGTCCCTTAAATCCACAACCGGAGCAGTGAGGAAACCGGAATGGCGAGTAAAATACTCAGTTCGTTTCACTGTCAATTCCGGGACCGAAATGCACTGCCCATAAATTTCACAGCTTTTAACTCCGACTCGCTCGGTACAGTTCCGGTCGAGAAATATGTGAGCCGTTAAAATAATTTATTCCGGCGAGCGTAATCAGTTGACTCGAACGAGGATCTAGGTGCTAATGGAACCGAACGCGGGCGCAGCGCCACCAACGCCCCGAAACACGAGGCGAGCTTTTAAGCTGCTTTCGTGTGCCCGTCCGTGAAAAGTTGCCCCCTCGTTCTCGTTGTTTTCCTTTGTGCCTTCTCCTACGGTTACTTAGGACGCGCCGCTTGTTTTGTTCGCGTTTGCATATCGAGCGGCTCGCCTGAGATGCGAATTGTGGCGTTTTATAGAGAATCCAATCGGGACGAAAGAAGTACGCCACTTTTCAAGGCTACAAAGCCCCTTCAGTCACAAAGAAACCGACGCCGAGAGAAAATTTTCATTTTTCCGAGTATTATCCGTTACAGTAAAAGTTAGGGAAACTGTTTTAAAAGGCACATTTAGATTTTAGAATTCTTTTTCACATAAAACTTATAAATCCAAACTTTTAGCTAAAATGTTAACTCAGATGGCAACGCATTCCTGTTTAGCCCGTGTTGGGCCCAACACCTCACCACAAAGAAACGGGGTCGTGCAGCCATTGTAACGGCAGCTTATTTGTCAGAGTGCGATGCTATAACAATACCATAGACCCGCTCCAGGTGACCGTTCACAAATCACCTTTTCGGTTTAATCTCCGGTGAAATTTCTTTGTGCGAAGATCCGGTGACACATTTTCCGCTAAATATAGGGTCCGATTGCCGAAATATCGGCCTTCTACACCAAAGATTATACAAAAGATTAAATAGCAGGTAAAAATTCTATCTTAATCTTACCCCATGAGTTATGCAAAGCTATAAATCACAAATATTTGACTTTATTTTTTAAAATGAAACCGAATCTCCTCTAATTGTTAAGTCAAGGGCGTACAATTATTTTGCAGAAAGAAAAGCAAAGAAACAAACCGTAAGTGTCCCTTAAATATTCAACATCCGGAATATCAGCTCCTTTCATTTCGACGTCCGAGGCGAATTTTAAGCAGCGCGAAAAGCACTTAGCGCCCGCCGCGACGCAATTCGGTAGCGGTTAAAGTTAAAAATCTTGTCGCTTTTTCGGTGCTATTATTTCGCGGGCAGGCGCCTTCGCCCCGTCCGTCTTATTTACGGCCCACAAAATGCAATTTTGAATAGGAACGACGCCTCCTCTCTCCTAGCATTTGCATAACTCCGAGACTCGAAACAAAATCTTTTAGTGTCTCCGTTGGAAATTCAATTCAAACCGTTTTAAATTAAAGAAAAATAGTTTTGTGACTTTATTCTATTAAACGTTAAATAAGACGATGATGATTCTTCTTTCCACTTCTTCGCAGCTTCAACCATATATAAACCGAGATACATCCTGTTCATTGTATATTTCAATGCATACAATTACTAGGACCGCCCTAAAAAACGAACCCCATTCACAGTTTCGGTTTTTGCCGACGTAGTAAAACCCTGGGATCTCATTCATATGACGCCCACCCAAAGATCCTGTAGTAAATAGGACAGGAAACGTGTCGTATAATGCGCGGGCCGCCCTACAAACTTGCTACAATGTCCTGGATGTACACTCGTGATCTTTTTAAATGAAAATTAAAGAAGGATGGCTAGCTCGAAGTCGGAGAAGATCGGGTTGGTTTACTTTGAAACCCTGCGCAAGGCTAAGGGGCCGGAGTAATGACGACGGCCAAAGCAGGTAGAGAAGGAGTAATTTAGAATTTGTCACTACGGGATTTTTAAATAGGTTTATTGTAATAGAAACCAGCTAAATATTCGATTAAATTATCGAAAATAGCATAATAAATTATTTAATGTATTATGTTTTATTAAAAAATGATTTTTGGAAAACAAATAAAAATTGTTCCTAATTTAAATCAATTTTATGATGATAACTATTAAAATATAAATACAGAAAAAATATTAAATGATAATATTATTACAGTAAAACTTAATTTAGATGATTTTCGAACAATTGATTCGATTGTATTGATTGTGCAGTTTCAATTATTTAATGTGTTTCAATTATTGTTTCTAATTTAAATCAATTTCATGATGATAATATATTAAGATATTAATACTGATTAATTATTAATATTATTACAGTGTGATTCAAAACTTCTTTTATCAAAAGTTAAAAAACGTAGAACGTTTTGTCACTAAAAGTTTTTTGTTTTTTTGCTCCGTTTTAATTTTTTCTATATTTCAACCAATTAAATTATCGTATCCCTACCAAATCTGAATGAAAACATACGGCTTCAAAACACACCACCTGAACATAATAAAGTATTAAGATTTGTTTAATAATAAATGTCAGTATTTATACAAACCAGTTAACTATTTACTAAATCCTTGTGTTTTATTATCTGGACGATTCAAAAGTAGATGGCAAAACTGAAATCATTTTGGGAATATAAATCTTTAACCCTTTATAGCCCTACGTATAACTTTAAAGTAACATTCATTTGATTCTAAATTTTTCATCATTTAGTTGGTTTAACAGCAGCACTATTTTAATCATTTAATCCTTATTTTGAACATTTTTAGATGACTTGAAGACAATTTTGGATTATCTTAACTAATTTTAAATGAGTTTACTAGATTTTAAGCGGTTGCAGCTAATTTTATGTGTTCCTAGAAGATTTTGCAAGGTTTTAAAACATTTCAGATAATTTTCAACCAGTTTAAATCGATTCAGCAATTTCACGCCATTTTAGATTGATTTTCAACAATCTTAGGTGAGTTTAGATGATTCCAGATGATGTTATAACGTTTTGAACTATTTTTTGAACATTTTTGGATGATTCTAAGATAGTTTTAGATGATTTTGACTGGTCTGAGTGGCTGCAGTGGTCCTACAAGATTTTAGAGAATTTTGAATGGTTCAAGTCGATTTTAAACAATTTCAAATGATTCTCAACCATTTTAAACTGATTAAATAATTTATACCAATTTTAAACTCAATTTCAACAGTTTTAAGTCATTTTAAATTCCAGATGGCATTATACCGTTTTAAACTATTTTTTGAACATTTTTGGGTGATTTAAGTCGGTTTTGGATGATTTTAACTGATCTTAAATAATTTTACTAAATATTAAGCTTCTGCAGATGATTTTACGTGAGTATAGAAGATTTGGCAGGATTTTGAACAGTTTTTGACGGTTTGATCTTCAACCATTTTAGATAGTTTCTAAATGATTTTACTATATTTTAATTGATTTTGAGCCGCTGTAAACTGATTTACAAGATTTTTAAACGATGTAAGATGGTCTTGAACAATTTGGGTAGATTTTTAATATTCATTTTAAACGTTTTAATTGTTAACGATTCATTTAAATAGCATTTTTTTGAGTTGATTTAATTTGGGCTATATAAGGTAAATTATTCTCAAAAGCAAATGGGAAAAAAAGCTTCTTTTCGACTTCAAATTGGATTTTATGGTTTCAGATTCACCATTTACTGGTGAATGGTCCTCTATTATCATCATAAAACTTATTTATGAAATTAATGAATTCTTGTATTGACAAGGAGGTTTACCATTAATAGAAACAATTAACTGCGCACAATCAATACAATCGAATCAATTGTTCGAAAATCATGTAAATTAAGTTTTACTGTAATAATATTATTATTTAATATTTTTTCTGTATTTATATTTTAATAGTTATCATCATAAAATTGATTTAAATTAGGAACAATTTTTATTTACATTAAATAATTTATTATGCTATTTTCGATAATTTAATCGAATATTTAGCTGGTTTCTATTACAATAAACCTATTTAAAAATCCCGTAGTGACAAATTCTAAATTACTCTTTCTCTACCTGCTTTGGCCGTCGTGATTACTCCGGCCCCTTAGCCTTGCGCAGGGTTTCAAAGTAAACCAACCACGACCGTCCCCGACTCCGAGCTAGCCACCCTTCTCTAATTTTCATTTAAAAAGATCACGAGTATATGTATGTACGCGAAACGTTTTTGGGTTGACGAGATGAATGAGAGCATTCTTTACTTCTTGTAGTATTGTAACCGAGCAGGTCGGAATTCTATTTCCAGTTTTGCCGCCTGAACAATCATTTTCGCCTCTTTGTTCAGAAAATAGCAGAGTTTTTATGGTGTATTTCGGAATGATGGCCCACATATTAAACAACCTTCAATTATTTTCTTTTGTCTTCATGCTCTACTTCGTCAGAAAATAAAGTTTTTTTACGGGTCTTAATAAACTTTCGTTGGTACTTTTTACTTCTCCAATTTTCTTATGATGTTAAGTTAATGAAAAAATTATATACACGCAAAAATGAAATGAAATAGAATGCTTGTATGCGTGTTTACTAATGCCTTACAAAATCATTAGTAAATGATTCCATCAGGGATTACCAGTTCTTGCGAGGAACAACCTAAGGAAAAATTAATGAAGCTGTATTGAGAACAACCAACCTACAACAGTTTATGAAATACTGCACGATTTTTTTCTCTGAAACGGAAATTAGTGTCTCCTAAAATTAAAAACCAAATTTTACAACATATAAGGGGCTGGTGTTGTAAAATTGGATAAGTATATTCAGTATGTATTTCTATTAGTTAAAAAATTTTAGAATTTTTGGGAATTTGAATCATTTAAGGTCAAATTTGAGACAAGTATCTAACAAAGCAATCACGGGTTTATTTGGGGCTTATTGGTACTGGATAAGCAGTATCCACCGAAGCAGATCAAACACGATATTTTATTCAAGCAGCTTATACAACAAATTTAGGAACGATTTAGACTGACCTTGGAGTCTTCAGTGACAAGTATATTCAGTATGCATCTTCATCAGTTCAAGCATTTGAGAATTTTTGAGAATTTGAGACAAGTATTCAACAAGGCTATCACGGATTAATAATAATAATTTATTTCCAAAAAACTCTATAAAGGTACAAGTCGTCAGATACAGTATTTGAATTTCATTATGTAATTTACAACATTATAGAAAATATAATAATACAGAATATATGGCCAAGATTTCTACAGCTTCAGTTTGACCGGCGAATCCATGAACTTGCTGATACTGTAGTATGGGTTTTCACCAAAGTGCTCCCTTAATCTTTTTTTGTAATGGAGCATTGATGTAGTTGTATCTATAAGTTTGTTATAAAACTTTACGCCCTGGTAATATACCGATTGTTGAAAGGTAGTCAGTTGGTGGTACGGAATTTGTAGAGATGAGTTGTTCCTCGTACTCTATTGATGATATTGCGCTCTACACGACACATCATTCATGTTTTGTTTTATAAAAATAAGACATGTATAGATATACGGCGAATAGACTGTCATTATTATTAATTATTTAAACAATGGTTTACAGCTCTCCATTTGATTTGCATTCATCTGCTTCAACTGCTTTTTTTGTATTATAAATATTCGTTCAGCTCCTGGGGAACTTCCTCAGAACAACACACTATAAGACATAATGCTTTGGAAATTCGAGTAATACACCACCATTGCTGAAAACTATTGAACTGATTTTTTTTCCATCTTGTTGTATCTGTGCATTCCATTTCAGAGAACTCTCTAAGACTACCCCCACTAGTTTAGCAATTGTTACATCAGTGGATTTAGTGGGAAACTCAATTCTTTGTATTTTTTTCTCATTCAGTTGCAGTCTATTAGCTATAATCCATTCAGAGGCGACCATCCGACAAAATACTTCATCTTCTTTAAGCTTACCATTGCAAAGCGCCTCGTTAACCTGAGTTGTATCGTCTGCAAGCATTATAGTACCTACTGCATATTTTCAAGAAATCAGGGAGATCATTAACATACAGCAAGAAAATATTGCCCTGCGCTGCGGCACACCAATCCCAACCTTTTTAATAGTCGACTTGCAATTACCATTTGTACCAGTTGTGCTCGGTTTGTCAAGTAAGATTTAAACATTGAAACCTTATACCGTAATTGTTGGATAAGCAGTATCATCTGAGGCAGATCAAAGACGATATTCCATTAAACAGCTCAATCAGCAAATTTGCGAACGGTTTAGACTTGACCACGGATTGCGTACTCTTAAGTGACAAGTATAATCAGTATGCATCTTCATCAGTTCAAGAATTTGAGAATTTGGACCATTTAAGGTCGAATTTGAGACAAGTATTCAACAAGACAATCATGGGTTCGTTCTGGACTCTTTGGTGCTGGATAACCAGTATCATCCGAGGCAACTATTTAAGCAAGAATTTGCGAACGGTTTAGACTTGAAAATCCGATAAAGCGATCAACATTTGAATCAGAAGTCAACAGCACCGATTTCGTTTTGAAAAAAAACGGCTATTAAAAAAAATAAAGTAAGTGTGATGTTTAAAGTAATTATAAATTAAAATAAAATACAAGTAATGAAGTTTTCTCAAATTGCGAACTTCCGGTTCAAATGAACGACGTCGAATGTGGTATGTGAGGTGTGGATTATATAGCTGTAAAACCACTACATATGCAGCATAAGAATGTTAAGTGAGTTATTTCTTATGCTTGAAAGGATTGAGTGATTATTTAATTGCCAAAATGATTATAGAGTGAATATATTAGATTGGTTTGAATTTAAATTTGCATTACTATCTTTAAAAAAAACACTTTTACAGGTGATTTTAGAAGATGGTTGTAAACGAATAAGCGACGTTAAGTACAATCATTTTTTATCGTTGCAGAGCAAGACGTTTTAGTATAACGACTTTACGACGTCGTTACGTATTCATTGGCCGAAATTGCAATGAGATCCCACGTTAAATTAAATTTCCTGGGCGAGAGATGGTGTCGAAATGAGAGTTTTTACGTCGGTCAAACAGCTGACAGGATAAATTGCTCGAAAGTAAAAACAAATCTCATTTCTCCGGCTACCGTGCTAGAGGTATTTCTTCACCTGGAGTTTGTTGGAGTGCGAAATTTAAGCGTCGTGTTCCCGTCTAGGATTTAACCTACATTATTTGTAGAAAGGGTTTAAGCCCCGAAACAAAACGTGGGATTAAAAATCCAATCAGCTATTTCTAAAATCGTATTATCTTTGGGTTTAATTCCAATCCATCTTGTGCTTTCAAAGATAAAGGGGCCTCTTAACACTTTCGTTTTTGTCTTTGACCGTAAATTTTTCTAAGACCTATTTTAGTAGATAGGTAATCTTTTAAGGGCGAAATCGAATACAATTGGATGGCACTGTCAATGAGAGACATTCAGGATTAGGAACAGGGGCGCCTTATCGGCCATCTCGGGCCGGGAAAAGAGATTTTTTGCGTAACGAACCTTTTAAGATGTCGCGTAGATAACGTTCTTTGTCACCAACTAAGAACCCTGTTTAGTAAATTCTCTAGATTAAATTAAATTCTAAAGTACTAATTTTGACGAATGAGAGTATTATAAATGACCATATCGTTACGAGGAGATTAATTGTTATGTTTGGTGATTAATGTTATTGAAAACACGGGTTTGATCTGGATGTAAAATTATTACCATCGCTGTGAAGTAAATGTGTGGGTGGGAACAGAAAATGGCATCGTTAAAAATTTACATTTTTATTGCGATTTTAATGAGCGGCGATCCGGTGTACAGCTTCCTGTTATTTTTATAATGCGGTTCGCCCAAACTAACGGCGCTTTTATGCAATACCATAAATAACGGGTACGTTTGCATTTGTAATTGCGGACGAAACAGGTAACACGATGACGGACGAGCTTGTGGGAATTGTTGGCCAATAATATAACCGCGATCCTTGCGAAAACGTCGGTCTCTTTGATCCCCTTCGCGACCCTTAAACAAATGCCCGCCTCCCAGACGATAGAAAATACAAACAAAAATTAAAACAAAAATACAAATAAAACTACAAACAAAACCTAAACCATTTGCTCGGGTGCGCTGAAGAATAATAATAATCAAGTGGTCCTTTGACGCGACCGCACCAGAAACTTGGTTCGGTCAATTTGCATTGTTTCTCCACCGCCGTACCTCACCCCAACGAAGCGATTTTATTAAATATAAGCGGGCCGATCGTATATTAACCCAGTGCATCGATAATACGGGGCACATGAATAGAAAATACGGTAGCGCGCACTTGTGCCTTCGTCGGCAGAAGCTAGTTTATGGATTTTGCCCGAGTGAATTCAAGTATGGAAATATTCGATAACTGCATAGAAATTACCTCATTTGCGGACGCCGGGACGCCGTAGAATTTCAATACGACGCCGGAACATAATTTCACCCGCTAATTGCGTATTGTGCCTTCCAGACGCTCTCGCTGCGTATACAGTGAATACCTTTATATGGAACAAAAAAAATTAGAAACTATTTCATTTAAGTCGCATTATTATCACTATCCTTTTTTATTCTTCATTTTGCCATGCTACTACTCCCTCATTCTGAAAGTAATCAGCGAGTTCTTCTCTTATATTAGATAATGTAGATTTTGTTCTACGTGCAACTTTTTAGACTTAGATCATCAGTCTGTCCTCTCTAGTACCCTTCTTTAACGACACCTTCTTCTTCAGAATCAAATGTTCCCAATGGGGTGTAAAATTTTTCCGATTCAATAACGGTCATTACTATAAGGGGGCATTTTCTGGTTCTAATAACAGAGGTTTCCTTAATATTCGAAAAATTCAGTAGGCAATGCCAAAAACATTTTCTACAATTCTGCGTAGTTGAAAATTCTTTGTTTTGATCCTTTAGTAATCTTTCATAAGATTTTCTGTCATAGCAAAGTTTTCTGGCAGATTCAACCGCTTTTGCATCATTAATTTAAGACTCAAAATCCGTCATGTTTTAAACATCTTAGCCCAATCAGTTTGTTGCCTGCGTTTTCGA